GTTTAGATATTAATTAATTTCGTGAAAATCCTCTTGAAGTTAACAATGATTATACATAATCTCAGTGATTTATAAATTTTTATTATTTAAAGTATGTAAAAATTTATTTAGAGCTTTAAGTAATTATGATTTTAGATGCTGGTTAAAGAAGATCTAATTATCTCTGTAAATCTTAATAATTTCTAAAATATCGTACTTTTTGATTGCTTTTCAGTCAATTATAATGTCTAATTCTTTAATATTATTTGAAGAAAAAAAATCAAAAGTTATTGGTAAGTTACTTTCAATATGAAAAATTATTAACTCTTATTATTTTACTTTAATCTAGTTTAAATTAATTCTAGTATTAACTATAATGTTTAAATTCTTGACACAATTTTTATTTTAAGAATTTTTGTTATTAAATCTATCTTTTACGATTATAAAACTATTAATACCAATATCTTTTATAAATAACAATAAATTAAGTAAACCTATCATAGAATGTTAGATGATTGTTTAAAATTGAAATGTTTTACTATTTCATATACTCAATAATAACTCAAATTTAATAAATAGTGAAGTTTTACGCAAAACTAAAAACTAAAAAAACATAAAAGATTGAATAAATATAGAATTACTAAAAAAATCCTGAAAGCAAATAATATTCAATAATTTTCATTATACAATGCAATCTTCTTTTTATTTTTAGTTGAAATTTTTTATATCTTCCAAAATGAAACTTCCTTTTGATTTGAATAAAGGTTTTAAATCTTTTCCTTAATGGTTTATAAATTCTCCTTAAAAGATAAGTGTACCTGATGCTTCTAATAAAGGATTCTAACAAATCCTAAGAATTGTACGATCTGGCTCAACTAAAAAATAAGAAATAAAAATACCTTTTGGTAATAATGAACTATTCTAAAGTGGTATTTTAAATTATGCAAGAATATCTTTGTAGTTTTTATCAGAGGATTTAATTTCTTATCCTGTCTTTACATTCCATAGACGGATAGACTTATCAT